AGGCAGCCTATCTTTCTCTTAATTCTTGTTTAGACATATGGCATAGCCGAGGGTGGATGTCGGGACAGAGAGATATGATATACCAAATCTTTTTTATTTTAGTCTCTTCGTCTTACAGCACAACATGCTTGATTAATATTGGTTGTAGTTGTACTAATGAGACATGTAGGTGGCGCGGTCTACCCACCCCAAGGTGTGGAACCCATAGGACTTCTATAGGCCTTTCTTCGCACAACCCTTAGCATGTGAGATCAATACACTGTTATAAAACCAGCCCCGAAATCGACATCGGTAGCTAAACGCGGAAGAAAATGCCATAGGAGATCCAAATATGATGACGACAACGAGACACGATATTTGATAACGGAGTTCAGCCGTAGCCTACATATCCAGGGCACTGATTACGGGCGCTCCTCCTCGATCCAACATATACAGCGTATCAGAGTTACAACATCGACTCATGGCCGGTCGCCGCCGGCAACCGCTCCCTCTCGCTATGCTAAGTCACCATGCGATTACAACAGGCACGCCCCTCTATTTATGAGAGATCCTAGGATAGAGTCTGACTCTTACTTTAGTCCTTATACCTATTACAACTCCAAGTTCTAAACTGTAACAGACTTTGTACACATATTCGACAGAAACTCTAACATTCTGTGATGGGGATCTTCAAGGTCACATGGGTTGATGTGACGGGGGAGATTATTGGATTTAGTTGCACATCGGTAATTGATGATGGGGGAGCATGACTTAAAAGGTGGAGGCAGTCATCACTCATAAGACTAGTACTTTGGGTTGTGTAGGTCTAGAACCTAAAGTTGTTGCTCCGATTGGACCTGTGGTGGAGTAGGTCCAATGTGATATAGGTGGCCTACGTTTGGTGGGCCGGGCTGCGCACTGTAACACACACCATGTGGTGGGTCTAGGTACGTCTGATGTGCTCGCTTCATCCTATAAGCGTTCCAATTGGCCAGCACTCGAGCCAGTCTCCACGCTTTGGATCCCGAGCAGAAGCATCACGAGTGACGACTGCCCAGGATGGCTGCCACGCGGCTTAGTCATACAGCGCCACGCGTCTATCTCTAGCGAGCTCCTTAGAGCAAGTATAATGGAAGGCTGAATGCTGAGATGGATGAGAGAGGAGAGGAGAAAAGAGGGGATTTATAGACTGTAAAGTTCTATACAGTCAATTGTTGACTGTATTATTAGCTTTGCTCTTAGCTCCCTTCTCCCTTCTTATAAATGGGCCATGTTTCTACTTTTTCTGGAAGACCGGGTGAGTGGGCCTAACGCCTTGACTTTCACCCTAGCTTTGCATATAGTGTGGGACACCATATTTGTGATGCTGACAACGTAGTTTTCTTTAATAGATGAATGTTCAAACATCAAGGTACCTTACAGTTTTCTTTAGTATAGTTTGTGGGTCAAGTTAGTTCCATGTAATCTCATTGTCACTACTAGAGAGAACAATTTTCTGTACGAGAACCCCTATAGGTTGCAAGCGGACCGTGATTGACGGCGTCTGCAAAAATCGATCTCTATTTTCACATGCAGTTCCTTAAGAGCCCCGCATGCAAAAATCTATTTTCGTATGCGGATTTCTTAAGTGGCGGTGTGCAAAAATGAGCCTATTTTTATGTACGGTACTCTCAAGGGACCGCATACAAAAATAGGTTTTCGCATGCGGATCTCTTAAGTGGTCCACATGCAAAAATAACTACTCCACAAATTTTTTTTCTCCTCTCTATTTTTCCTCTCAGGCACTTCAAAATTTTCACCTCCTCTCCTCCCTCTTCCTCTCCTTACATTATTTTCACCCCTCCTCTCATTATTTTCACCCATCATCTCCCCTCTCTCTCTCCTGTCCTCCCCTCTCTTCCTCCGTGTCGGCGACTGGCGGGTAGGCGGCGCGCGGGAGGTGAACCACTTCCTCCACCGCCGGTAGCCGGCTCGGCGCCCTCGGGTGGCGCCGCTGCCGACGAAGAGGCAGCCGGGACCGAGCGAGTGGGAGGCGCGGCCACCTCCTCCACCGTCGGGCGACTCCACCTCCCCCTTCACTGCCTCCTTCCTACACGGTTCCGGCCGCCGCTTCGCCTCCCACGCGCGTGGATCCAGCTGCGGCACGGCAGATCTACCACGGTGGCGAGCAACGGCCGGTTCGACGACCTTGGGCTCCACCTCCTCCACCGCTGGGTGGCTCCACCGCCTCCCTCCTGCATGGATTTGGCAACGACGCAGCGGATTTGGCGACAATGGGAGGCACAGCACCAGGCGGCGGCGGATCTGGCGTGGGCGACGGTGGGCTCGGCCTCCGGCAGCTAGCGCCGGCGAAAAAGTGGGTGGGCACCGGAGCTAGGGTCTAGGGTTTGGTTTTTTTTTGCTATTTTCTTTTTTATTATTTTTTTATGTTTGTATGTGATCGATATAAGCACCGTATGCATAAATTGGATTTTTGCATACGGATGCTCCACCCGCATGATAAAATCACTATTTTCGCAGACTTTTTGGTGCAAACATGCGACTCAACCGCGTGAAATTAAAAATGATTTTTTAGTAATGTGTATTTAAATTTTAGACAATGTTGTTTCTTCATGGCAACTTACTCGTATTTTCTTCTCATCGTAACACACGGATACTTTGCTAGTCAAATAATACATAAAATGTACGCCTGGAGTTCCTTATAATTTGATAAACAATCATGTCAAACGATATTAATTAACTTTAATCATCTAAAGGATTACACCTTGGAAAAGGGAAAACTAAAACAGAGAAACTACTACCGTAATTGATCAAGAAATGAGTATTCATCTCTAATAATCAGCTTAATTAACTGTCTCACGTGCACCAGCTATCAAATCCGTCTACTAATCGGTCCATGATGGCCAGTGGTTCCACCCAAATATGTGTGCTGGTTGTGGGTTAACGGGGATAGTGTTTTTATCTCTCGAGGACATCCCCTCGTTGCTTGCATGTTATCTGAATAGTGATAAAAGAATTTAAAAAAAAATAATAATATAGATTAATATAAAATATTTCGTTCCACAAACATGCCAGTTAAAATTTTACTCCTACATGTTATAACAAAAATTATAAATATAATTGCGAATGTGTATAATAACTAGCTAGTTTTAGTTTAATTTGTTTTTTTAGAAATTATATAAGTCTAATTTTTTATTGTATGTCTGTGAAGTGATATATTTATCTTAAGAGATGAAAATCCATATTCGGTTAATATAATGGCTGTTTGATGGCATTTTTGCAGCGGCTAGAACGATGAACCTGATAGCCATGATCATTAGGTATATGTGAGGCCAGCTAGCTCTCCATTTTATGTGTGCATGCGCCATGCAAATATAGAAATACACACTGTACCCAATCTATACTTGTCAATTAGTGTATATATGCGTGTGTATACTGAATCAAGAGCAAGCTATGTCAGTCGGCCGGTGAAGCAACTACGTACATCCATGCATGCATGCATGCATGGCAGTACACAAATATATGGTGTTTGATTAAGGGTGAGGTGATTAATGGGCTTAATTAAGAAATTTAATGCGCCTGCCCCTGGGCTTAGCCCATATCAGTGAATGATACAATCGCGGCGTATTATACATATCCGCAGTTTTGATTTATCGGCTAGATGAGTTTACTTATCGATCAAATTAGAGAGATAAGCTGGGGTTTCAATTTATCTGAACAACTTCTACTCACGCGTGCGGAAGAGATAAAACCAGATGAATTAAGAGATAACCAACAAATCAATTGATTTTATCTCTATAACAAACTTGATCGAGTTAGTTACTTCGCGCGAGCGCTGGCGAGGCGCTTATCACCGGACTGTGGCCCAGCAGCAGAGAAACAGAGCGAATTACAAATCAAGTTTATCTCTATTGATTGTTTCTTATCTACAGAAATAATGACGAAGGAATCGCCACCCAGCTGCGCACGCGCGGGCGGCTGGGCCTCCATCTCCCTGATGCTCCAGAAGTTAACAAAGCTCACATATTTGACGCCGGGAGAGGCTAAGAGATAAAATGAAGGATATGAACAAATAACAAACTGATCGATCAAGCCTTATCTGCAACGAATTTGACGCGGAGAAAACGGCGCGCGGACGCAGCGAGCACCGACCTCAGGCCCCTATATAAGGCGTCGACCCCTGGGTAGCCAGGGGGATTCACGAACTCATCCACACATTCATTCACCAACGCATCCAGTACCCACAAGCCATCCATCATCAACGCATCTGCGCGCCCATCGATCAACACACAACGCAGCTATCCATCCTCGACGCAACCATCCATCCTCGACGCAGCCATCCCTCGTCATCAACACATCCATCATCCAGCACCGGAGCAACAGCGCGCGCGCGGCCGGAGCACACCGGCGGTGGCGAGCGGCTTTGGACGAACCGGCGTCCGGCAGGGGAGCACGAGGAGGGAGATGGAATCGACGGTCTTCCAAGGTAAAATTAATTAAGATCAGTTTCCTTCTTATTTCATATGCAACACGTACATACGCATGCATGGAGAGGCATCAACTAGAGTATGGAGGAGCACACTCGTGCGGCCGCGTCGGTGTGCGCTGGTGTTATGGCACCGGATGACGGCAGCGGCTATCGATCTGCGTCAACAAATATCGCCCGGTTACATATTAGATCGGCGACCGGTGGCCGGTGGCACTCCGTGTAGGCGACGACGGCTATCGGCGACCGGCGGCCGGCGGCACTCCGTGCAGGCGACGACGACTATCGATCTGCGTCAACAAATATCGCCGGCCGGTTACAGATCAGATCGGCGACCGGCGGCCGGCAGTCTCACATCGCATGATCGGATCGGTGATCGGCGACTGACGCGTGATGGCAGCACCCAAAGACGACGGAAGACCGTTGGCCTTACATACACACGTCGCACGGCGGCGTGGCAGCAACAACAGGAGGAAGGACGACGGGAGGACGGCGAGCCAGTGCTGTTGGATGGCAACAAGCTAGCTAATGCATGTTGATTAAGTTAATTATTATTGTGGCAACATGGCCAACCAATCGGAAGACGACACATCATCAAAGTGCTATAGTGCCATGCAACAAGTCATGTTCATTCTTGTCCTTCTCAACGGGGTGCTAGATGTGATTAAATCCAGCTATTACATGCGCTGATCATCTCCAACAGTTCCTGATTCTCCTCTGATCTAATCTCGACGCAACTGTTGTAACGTCAAGTCGTTCAAGTTACGCAACTCCATGCATGTTTTCACCAACAATCTACATCGACATGTTGTTCAAGACCGACGAGGCAAAACGACGGAGGACGGGCGAAGCCGATGCGAAGGCTACGCTACCAACACCAGCGCACGAACCGATGAGGCCGTGGATCGCTGCCAGCGCTCACACATACACATCTACATCATCATCACAACCATGCATGGAGAACGCGAAGCGAAGACGACGAGACGACCACAAACAGCTTAATCGAAGGTTCTTTTGCAGGCTTAGACCTGCGAAGGTAATTAACTGGGAGCTTCTCGAAACCCTAGGAACTAGGAGACCACATCGCACAAGTCAGATCATATATATTACATTGGGAATTTATATTTATGATCTTTTAAGATTAATAAAGAGTATGTTCCCTATATTTTGTTTACATTGTGTATTTAGGTACACTGGCACGTCCGCACATATATGTATATCTAAACATAGAGATCTCATATGTTATTTTCCACTTTAAACAATGGCAAGTCGTTTTGCTGTGGTCAAGTCAACCCCTTCCGGCCGGCTAGCTAACGGCATTAACTATTACCAGACAATTTGCATAGCTTAATTTTCTGAGCTAACGATTTTGTGGTCCTATTACTAGTTGGCATCTAAGTTACCACTCCTTTTATTTGTGTGAGATTTACTATAATAAGTAATCTTAAACGAAGAGAATATAGTACGAGTTATGACTACTACGGCTGAATTTTTTTACTGGTCCATATACTCTATCAGGTTCGTATGGCCAGTATGTCTCCTATCCATTGTATGGTCAGTTATGGATGTGCAATAGTGTCATGTACAGTACCAACGATTGCTAACAGTGCATGATGACTTAGCTAGCTACAGAAAATTTGCATGCATATATATGTTGGTCTGATCGATGAGGTAATATATGCACAGTATGCGTACGTTTTGAGTAGATAGTTAATTATTAGCTAGATATATAGTCCTAGTTAATTACTTTAATTTGTACAAGATAAGTATGTATGGATTTATATATCAGCAGTTCTGCACTTGAACTTGTGGATTAATTATTTCCCCCTTGCTTTTAAATCTTAATAAAGAATTTTTTTTACGAGTTACGAGCATATATTTACACACTTAGAAGAAAACTTTCTAAGATAGTATATAATTAAGCACACGTTGGAAATTAAGCTTTCAGGAGACCTAATTAAGCTCAGAAGAAAAGAGATCGAGCAAGATATAGCTAGAGAGTTAATTAAAAATGAATCTAGCTAGCTATTAGGGACCACTTGAATTAATTAATTATCAGCTAATTACCTCGTGTGGCAGTAGTAGTGGTGAATAAAGAGGACGGCATCTCGTCGTAGTCGCCCCGGGCGTAGTAGGAGAGCACGACGGCGGCGATCAGCACGGCCGCCGCCACGCTCGCCGCCCTCACGGCCTTCCTCCCCGTGCCACAGCCGCTCAACAAAGGCAGCCGCCGCCACCATGGCACCGCCTTCACGGCGACCTCCGTCGTCGACGCCGGCGAGGACGACGGCACGCCGTCGCCGACCTCCGCGTCCATGCGAGCTAGGCACAGCTAGAGCTACCTCTTCGTCGATCAAATATATAGCATAGGTGTATTGAGAGAAAGCTAGGAGCTTAGGAGTATTAGCTAAGGTGTGATCAGCTTGGTTATTTGATGTATACGTTCGATCTTAATTACTGAAGCTTCCTAGAAGTAGCAGATTGACCGTGCTATATTCCTAGCAGCTCAAAGTATTCCACGTAATATCATTATCATATACTACCTTTTCCCATAATACTTTGTATTTCTAGGATTTAAATTTGTTTCAAAATAATTTTCACAACATAGTATTAACCACTTCCCATTCAAAATTTTTCCTATTCTACCCTCAACTACCTTCACACTCTTACCTATACACCATTTAGGTCCTATTTGTTTCATCTTAAGATTATTATAATCTAGATTATTAAATCAGATTACTCTAAGCTGGATTATAATAAGCTGACTATAGAATAAACTGTGAGTTGTTTGTTTTTCTAGATTATTAGAGGCATCTAAAGGTAGTGGGTCTTTAGCCACTTAATAATCTAGAAAAAGCTCCTCTAAAGAAGATTATTGGATTATACTAATCTAGCATAATAATCTACTTGTTTGTTTCAGCTTACTTCTAATAATCCAGGTTATAATAATTCTAAGCTGAATCAAACAGGTCTTAATAAGGGACACCATAGTTTTTTTTTTCAAACCTTAAAATATAATAAACAATCAATCTTAACTGCTTAAAAAATTCATAACTTTTTGATCGACACATCCCGATTCGTCCGTCGTTTGTGTACGTCCGTGTCATGCGAGTGTCTTCCCCCGTCTTCTTCGCGCGGTCAGTTTCCGCGGCACGCATACACCACGCAACAGGTCGAGAGTGATCAAGCCCACAAGTCGTCCGTCTGCATCATCTGTGAGTTTGATTCACACGACCGTGACGCAACGCAGTTCCCGCACGGCCCGGTTCCGATTCCTACCCGGCGATATCACAAGGGAACCAAAATCCACCGGATCGATTTCGATTTCGTTGGGCTTGACAAAAATTGGATGAGGGGAAACGAAGAGGAGATCGAGGGGATTCTGATTTCGCATCCAATTTGAAAGGAGAAACGGTGGAGAAGCTGGATTTGAGATGGGATCGATTTCGGCACTGTGCGAGAAAGGAATCTGGTCAGGTCCGGAGGAAGACGATAAAGCTGGGCCAGTGGGCCCGACGTGCCAGTCAGAGAAAGGGAGGAGGCAACCCATTGAAGGGTCGAACGCATATGTTGGGCCGAGGTGACGAGGATACTAGGTCCTGACCTTCTGATAGGTATTGATAACTCTGGATTTGGTGAAAACTTAACACAAACGATCCGGCTTCCGATCAACACGATCCGAACCGTGCAATCGTAGCACCACGTCTCCTCGTTGACCTTACCGAGAAGTCTAATCCTTACATGTAAATCGAAGAATACAAACAAAAACAAGATAGATTACAACACAATTGCATATGAATGATTAAGCACTCGAATTTAGGGTTCCACAAACCAATCTAGCGGTGAAACTGCAATGGCAGAAATAATCTAAGTAAAATCCGACTCTAAACGATGACGGCTACTGAATAAAAATGATTAGGGACGTCCTAGGGTTGCTCTAGGGCGCACACTCCCTTGAGCTTAGCACACGACACAATTATAAGGCCCAAGACCCAAATTAGATTCGGACTGGATGAGATATGTGGCTTGTTTTGCAAAATCATGATAGCTCGGTGGGAATTTTGACGTGGGACCAAAACCATATGAAAATTAACTACATAAGCTTTCCATCAAGTAATCATAGGCCCCGAGATTTCTTCTAGATCAGAGCCTAGGTACATTTGAAGTTGATGTTATCCGGATGCCCGAATCCGAATCCGAATCCGAATCCAAAACGTGTAGAACTTTATTTCTTGTCTTCTATGTACTAAAAATGACATGCTGAGAAAGAAGTAGACTTGGAGAAGGTCTTGGTTTGGTCCCCAATCAACTTCTTTGACCATACATGCATTCCTTATACATGCTCGGTCTCTTTTCCTTCACCCAAGCAAGTTTCTCTACAAACAAAAACAAACGAAACTCATTGTGTAGCAATGTTTGTTCAAATATATAACAAGTAAATTTAATATAGAACATATGCACCTTTGGTTGATGAATACGTAAGATAGTGATGGTCATATCCGAGCTAGTTGTGTCCTCATCACGAGGAGGAGAAGTACATAAGGGTGGCCCAAATGGATGGAAAAAGGGAGAGGAGAGAAGTGGGTTTGCACGTGAAAAAAAAAGACGAATCTTAATCGAATATCCCAAATCTTGGAATATGTCTATTTGCCTCCCTCATCTCTTACCCTTAGTCGAATCATATCCCTCAACTGCAAAATCGGGTATAACACCTCCCCCAACTTCAACAACCAATTCAAATTGACTCCTTCGGTGGTTTTAAAAACTTTTTTTTTCTAACGTGACAGTTTGACTTGCTCCAAGCTGGTGTACTGACGTAGCAGCCTAGTCATCAAAACAATTGAAAATAGAAATAGGTCCCACATATAAGTGATAGGATGTAAATAAAAAAACATTGGGGTCCAGTTGTCAGCCGCACTCATTCCTTCTTCAATCTGTATGCGCCGCAAGCCGCACTGCCACACCTTGATGCATCCCCTAGCGTCGCCGCCGCCGAAGGAAGGCGAGGGGTCTACTGTGGCGGCTGAAAGTAGATGGCAATGGCGACGACGACGGCCACCGCCATCGCACATGTCACAAGTTGCAGTCGATATAGCGATGAGATGAGGTGAAGGTCGCTGATATGTGGGTCCACCTGCCACCGCCACCAAAAACCTAAATAGCACAAAAATATCTTACGTAGCGTATGAAAGATGGTTTACATTAAAAAAACAATAAAAAAGATTTTATATTGCATATAACAGATAGGCTGTATTTTCAAAAAAAAATAAAAGAAAACTTGAAACTTATATACAAACTTTCATGTTGTGTAAGGATACCATAAAACAATTTTCATTTTTTTGAAATTTTTAATTAGATAAATGAATTGTTAAGTTTGTATGTCTATATGGGTATTTTGGGATTTTTAAAAATAAAGCGCAATCCAATGACATATTGTTGAAGGTATATTGTAGAAAGAGACAATGTTAGTGGTAAATTATTGAACTCGGACAAACTTAAGTGATGGTATAGAGTATTTTTTTTATATTGCATTAACTGATATTAAATATTGAAGGATGTAGGTAGCACAATATACTCCTACATCGAAAATTCAAAATTAATTGTTGGTGCTCAGAAAAGACAGCCACATTGCAGGTCTTGTATGTGCGGTTGGCCGAACGGATTGACTTGACCATCTACGGAAAAATGTCTATTTAACTGTTTTGGCGGCTGGCGGCTATTGATCCATAGTTATTTTTTTAGGGAGATCCATAGTTATATTTGATAGCTGTAGGTTAGACAGTTCTGGTTTTGAAAAAAAAAAAGTGAACACATGGAGTTCGTTAGTGAATATAATTCTTAATTAATCACTCTATTTCGATACAATAGCCCCTAGCTCCCCTGTTTTTCTTCAATATTTCTATAATTTTTCAATGTGTTTTGTTGTTTCTCTTCTCCTTTTTTTTCCCTATCCCGGCATCTTTTTTTATTCAACGACATTTGATCCATTGCCATTTTCTTCTCCCGTAGAAAACACAAGAGATTTGCATTAAAATCACTAGGAATTTTATTTCATCAAGTCAGAACAGAATGTCGAAGCTTAATTTTGTGAAAAAAATAATAATAAGACACATAGTAGTCCTCCCTGTTTCTTTTATCCTTTTAAGGTGTGTTTGGTAATTGAGTGGATGAGTCTAGATAGGAGATAGCCGTCCGGATTTTCTGTGGTGTTTGGTTGGAGGGCAGAATGAATGGGACGGTTCATAAAAGGGAATATTCCCTCAATAAGCTGGACGAGTGCATCCGGCCAATTTGGTCGGAAGAAGCCATTCAGTTTTGGTCTGGGTGATGTGTCATATTCTGATCAGCTATGGTTGGTTTGATTTTCTGTTAGCAAGCTCCAAATTATTTTTTTCTCCTAAACCATTTATCTAATTTATGATTTGATTATACCATTATATTTGTTACAATTAAATCTTTAAAAAAAGATCTCAAACGATTATATTTTGATAAAAGTATAAATATGACAAATGGGAACCACTAACTTTTGGCTTATCTCATCCATGCTATATCCCTTCAACAGTTAAACCAAACAAGAAATTTAGTCATACTATCTATAAAAAAAATGGATCATCATATCCAATAAAATATAGATGAACATATCCCATCCATACATAACCATCAACCAAACGCATTAATGTTTCTTCTTCTTCTTCTTCTTTTCTTCTTCTACCAGAATCTGTGAAGCTCCCAAGTGCCAAAACCCCTCGGGAAATACTCAAAAAGCTCGGGACACAGCTTCCCGAAGGCCACTCTCGGGAAGTAGCACTCGGGAACTCTCCTACGGGAAAGTTGAAAACTCCCGAATGTCGTGTTCGTGCATTCGGGAGCATAAATAACGCCACGTGGCAGGTAGATCAAGTCTCCATAATTAAGGCACGCGGGAAACACGTACCACTCAGGATGTAATGCTTTTTTTTATTGTAAGTTATCCATTATATATAGAGTAAATTTCATAAAACTGCATATATTTTGCACATTCTATCACAAAACTACAGATTTAAGAACTTATTTTACAAAACTATAGATTTAGTATTTACGTTTATCACAAAACTAAATGTACTTTTCACATTACATCACAAAACTACAGATTTAAGAGCTTGTTTCACAAAACTACATATTTAATATCTTCATTTATCACAAAACTACAAGTTTAGTGTCTTCATTATTAAAAAACTATATATTTTAGCATTGTTAAAACCTGTAGTTTTGTGATAATGAAATGTAGTTTTGTGATAATGAAGACACTAAACATGTAGTTTTGGGATAAAAGAAGACACTAAATGTGTAGTTTTGTGATAAAAGTAGACACTAAATATGTAGTTTTGTGAAACAAGCTCTTAAATCTGTAGTTTTGTGATAAATTGTGTAAAATACTTGTGGTTTTGTGAAATTTATATAGAATACTCTTGCTATTGTT